CCCGGCCCATGCAGTATGGCCAACTGTTCTCTCTCTCTCTCTCTCTCTCTCTCTCTCTCTCTCTCCCTCCCTCCCTCCCCCCTCACCTTGGGAGTAAACTTCTTGGTCTGTAGCCCATTGCCCGGCCCATGCAGTATGGCCAGCTGCTGCTGCTGTTCCATGCGCTCCTTGCTGTGCATCCTCTTCATGTGTTCCTTCAGTTTGTCCTTCCTCTTGAACTGTCTGCCACACGTCTCGCACATGAACTCCCGGTGTGTCGTGTGTCTCAGCATGTGTAGTCGCAGCTTGTCAATGCGCGGGAACACCTGGCACGAACACACACACAAAGACACACTCATGAACATACAGTACACAAAGACACACCCATGAACACACAGCACACAAAAACACACCCATGAACATACAGTACACAAAGACACACTCATGAACATACAGTACACAAAAACACATGCATAAACACACAGCACACAAAGACATATACATGAACACACAGCATACAAAAACACATATACATAAACATATACATAAAGACACACACATACATAAAGACACAGCACACATACAAAAACATAGATATAAACATATGTACACACAAAAAAATAAATCACATACATAAACATAAACACACAAAAACACACACATGAACAAATGCACACACACGTAAAAACACATGCATAAACATATACATTAACACACGGGCCCATAATAGAGATCAGTGTAAGTTTTAGATCTCGTTTTAATACCGTGAAAGAGTTTTACGGCACTCGCAACTCAAAGAGACCACAAATACCAGAGATTTACTTTTAATGAGTCTTATTCTGGTTTACCACAACCCAACAACAACTTTTGATTTACCTTAACCTAAAGAACGACCTCTGGTTTACCCCAACCATCAGTTACCTCTGGTTTACCACACCCCATCAAACAGTTACCTAGGATTTACCACAACCCAACCACTCATTATCTCTGGTTTACCCAACCATAACTTACCTTTGGTTTACCCCAACCAACAATTATCTCAGGTTCACCCCAACCATCAGTTATCTCTGGTTTACCCCCCCCCCCCCCCACCCCACCATCAGACAATTACCTTGGTACACTCGGGGCACTGGTAGACCTTGTCCGAGTGGAAAGTCTTCATGTGTTTTTTGAGAAAGGAGAAGTCGTGGAAGCACTTGGAGCACGCCGTGCACGGGAAGCGGCCAAAGGAGTCCATGTGGGTGAGGCCGTGTTCCTTGAGGCTGGCCGCCATGTCAAAATCCTGGCCACACACCGGGCAGTCGTAGTACTTCTTTTCGCTGTGAGTCTTCATGTGGCACGCCAGGGCGGAGTTGTTCATCACACGCTTCATGCATACCGGGCACTGGGGACACGGGG